TGTGGGAATGACCTTATGGCAATTCCTCCCCGAGTACGTGTTCCCGTTCACGTCTTCTCTGGCGTTTCTTTGCTGGGTCGCTCCCCACAATCCCGTAGCCAATTTTATTGGCTCAGGTCTCGGGGGAATGGGCTTTCTCAATTTAACCTTCGATTGGTCGAATATCAACTGGAACGGCTCATCGATTCTCCTCACACCGTGGTGGACACAGGTCATTCTGTTCTTGGCGTATGCCGTGAGCTGTTGGGTCCTCCTTCCAGCCGCCAAGTGGGGAAAGTTGGGCTCATACAAGCACGGCCTGATGTCGAACTCGCTATTCATGGCAAACGGCACCAAGTATCCGGTGTTAGACGTTTTGACCCCCGACTTTCGCCTGAATCAAACGGCTTACGAAGAACACGGTCTCATGTACATGGGACTACACAATGCTTGGGCCACATTCTTCGACTATGCCAAGGTGACCGCGGCCGTTACCTGGATTGCTACGTTCGGGTTCTATCAGCTGAAGTCGAACCTGAAGAAGGCTATTGCGTCCCGTCGGAAATCAGAAAAGGCCAAGGGCCAAAACATCAACTATCAATATCATGATCGTCTCAACGTGCTCCAGAGGCAGTACAAGGAGGTGCCACTGTGGTGGTACGTGGCCCTCTTCCTGGCTGGGTTTATCATCCTTCTTGTGGCCACCGCATGCGGATACCTTTGGATCCCAGTCTGGACGCTGTTCGTTGGCCTGGTCACGGCCGGTGTTTTCGTCCTCCCCTTCGGTTGGTTGTATGCAATCTCCAACTATCAGCTCGCAGTGGGCACATTCAACGAGATGCTGTACGGGTACATGGTCCACACGAAAGCAGGCGCATCCCACCGCCACCCCTGTGGGCCTTCCACCTACGGAGCGATCGCTGGCGACGCTTGGTATCGAGCTCAGTACATGCTTCAAGATCAGAAGATCGGACATTATATGCACATCCCACCGCGCACCGTCTTTTTCTCCCAAATATTTGGAACGGTTCTCGGTATTCCAGTGAATTACGGTGTGATTCGCTGGGTCTTGAACACGAAGGGGAACATCCTCAAGGGTGTTGAGAAGGACCCGCTGAACCAGTGGACTGGTCAATCAATCATTGGTTCTAATACTCTCGGAGTGCAATACGCTGTCATTGGACCTCAGAAAATGTTCGAAAATCCTGAACTGAGGGTTCTCCCTTACTCTTTCCTCGTAGGAGCTGTGATCCCCCCAATGCTGTACATTCTTCACCGTTGCTTCCCACGATTGCGGGTTGATCTGTGGAACGTTACCATCTTTTTCTCTGGTCTGTCGGTCTTCTACGGTAACATCAGCACAGGATATACTTCGGCTATCATCGGAGGATATGTGGTGATGTACTGGGCTTATCGGCGCCGGTTCGAGACCTGGAAACGGTACAGCTACATGGTTGCCGCCGCCTTCGATGCCGGCTTCAATCTGAACATGTTGTTGATCTTTCTGTTCTTTGGTTCCGGGAAGCAGATCAAGATGCCCAATTGGTGGGGCAATAATGCGGACTCTGTTGAGCGGTGCTTCGCTTTGTGAATAAAGCCAAGCAGGATTACTCATACAATGGTATATAAAGCATATCTGTGTACATAGTTCTCTTCTCTATAATGAACTACACATCTACTCTCTTAGCCTGTCTGTTCTGGAGCACTCATACTTCATCATATTCTGGTAGTACTTAGCATCTTGTCGGGTCCTTGAACCCGGTCGTTTTGGCATGTAGTCATATCGGCACTGGGAGACGGATGCTTACGATTTTATAGCAGACTTTCCAACCGAGTTCCTCTCTATGGTACTCTTGCACACATGCATGTGAATTGTGAAGTTTCATTCGGCTTCTAATAAAACACGGACTTGGTGGTGGCTTGAGCCTGACAAAAGTGGCATGCGGGTCCATTCTTTCAGCGCCTTCAATGTCACTATCTGTGGTATTGCATGTCATATAATCCATCTAATAGAACTCTTATCCTATGACAGCAATAGAGCAACCACCTTACTCAAGCAGCTCGTTGGGTAGGTACAACGCCATCGAATCCTCCCAGATACTGTCGGTGATGATAGTCTTATTCGACCCGTCTGCATTCATGATGAAAATCTGACCGTACGGCTGGAAGGTATTGTCATAGATGGCGGCTTCATCTCGGAAGCCATACATGCCGCTTGCATAGAGAATACGCCCGTCCGCGGTCCAGGTTGCATGGGCATCATTGGCTCCGCTCGATGTGAGCACCTTCAAGTCCGACCCATCCGGACGTATAGTGCACACGTCGAAGTTGGTGTAGCTCGTCCGGCGTGTGAAGACGATCCGCTGCCCATCCGGCGAGTAGAAGGGAAGGTTGTCCCGGGTCGTAGTCAAAACGCGAACACTCCGATCGGTCAAATCCATAATGCGAAGCCCAAATTCAGCGCCCCATACACGGTAGACCAAGTACCGCCCATCCAACGAGTAGCTGGGGAACCCCGCATTGATCGTACCGTTGGTGAGGATCTCAGAATACGACCCGTCTGCTTTGGCCCTCGCAATGTATCCCTTACCAGTCGCGCGGGACTGGAACCAAGCTCCGATGCCAAAGGCAATCCATTCCCCATCGGGTGACCATGTGGGCTGGAATGCGCCGGCCAGGCCCTGGCCGACCTCACTGGAGCTGATATTACTTTGGGTCAATGGATCGAAGACGAGCTTTTCGTCCATTCCGTCTGGTCTCATCGTAACGATGCTAGAGTTACCGAGTTGCTTCTGCGTGATAGCTAGTCGACCTTGCTGGGACAGATCCGGGAACACGTCGGTAAACCGGTATTCCCACTCGGGATCCCAGCTGTAGAGTTTCTTCTCCATCGGACGTGCCTCAAACTCTGACTTCTCATAGATAACGGACTTGCCGTCCGGCGACCATGACGGCGAACGCATCGTCCCATTAATCATCGCGCGGGTGGAGCTCTCAGCGGTGTAGTGAATGCCTTCGTTCGATCCGCCCTTGACCAGATAGCCAATATTGCTTGCCGTTACGTATTGCGGCGAGACCTTCACCCCCGTTCCATTCGTATGCTGGACCCGATTCAGTCCCGTGGCGAAGTCGACGGAGACAATCTGGGAAGTGGCACTGGCGACCGATTCGGGCCGATGTGCGTCCCATGTGTTTTCCGTCGTGATCTCGTAGAAGATGATCCGCGAGCCATCTGGTGACCATCTGGGAGACCCAAGACTCCATCCCGTCTTGGATGCGATTCTGCGAAAGTCCGTTCCGTCTGGTCGGATGACATACACCGACAACTCTTGAGTATGCTCCCAGCCAGTTCCATTACCGTGTCCACGCCATCCAGTGTTGCGATCCGAGGAGAACGCAATCCATTCGCCGTCGGGCGACCAGCTGGGACGGAAGTAGCCATTGGGTTTCGTAGGGTCACCCTTGACTCCCTCCAAGTTGGTGAGGTTCCGTTGTTCGCCCGTTTTCAGATCCATCACCCAAACATTTGTCGTGTATCCGTTCGCTGTCGAGACCCATGCCACCTTGCTTGCGTCGGGAGACAGCACACCTGCATCCTCAACGGAGGGGGTTGCTACCAGCTTCTCCAGCCCGGAGCCATCTGCGCGACAACGGTAAAGGTCCGAGTTACCGTCGCCGTTGCGCTCCGAGGTAAACGTAATCCATTGCCCATCGGGTGAGAAGGAGGCATGGTAGTCGAATCTGGAGTTGTTTCCCAGCAGTTTCCGCTCGTTGCTGCCATCAACGTTGGCCACGTACAGCTCCGATGACGATGGTCCAATTCGGTTCATGAGCATAACTCCCTTTTTGCCTGGAGCCGGTAGACCACGAGCAGAATGGGTGCGAGGCATCATGTCGAAATTTTGCTCCATCGCAAAGTGCATTGCTTTGTGGGCTGTTGCAAACCCTGAGCCCACGGCGAAGGCCCATACCGTAGAGCTAAGCCAGCGCATGGTTGTGTCCTTAGATCTTCCTCTAGTGATCCTAGGATGGAACAATGCTTGAGCGAGGAGGACGGGGTATCGTATTTATGCGGATTGCAAGCAGAAAGCTTGCGCTTGTGGATTTAGTGACCAACCAGCTAGTGGGAAACTGCATAATGCGTAATCAAGCGTTATGAAACGGTGGTATATCGGTTGAAGTTTGCTTTGCATGCCATGATAGGCAACATCTTGGTCGATCTGCGAAGCAGACTTCGTCTGTACAGACGTCGCCAAGCCCGCGGAAAATTAATCGATATTAAGATGGGCACCCAAATTCACCAGCATGCGCAATTTAGCGGTCTCACCCTTTGGCTAGTTCACTCGAACAGACAATGATCTGCATGGTCGTTTATAAATTTCTTCTCCTGGTGGTGATTATCGGATAAGATTATGTTCTCAATCTCCGAGTCTATGCCCTACAAGGCCACCTCGGCCGAGCATTGATGCATGTCGGGATATTATCTCCGAGACAGGCCCATGGACCTGGTGGAGGCTTCAAGACTCAAGAGACCGGGTGGTCCAATCTGATAAGATGAATGTGCTGTGAGCTCTTGGCAACCGGAGACGATTGATTGATAATTAATTTCCGGCGGCGAAATCCCGACAGATGCCAGGATTTGAGGCAATCAGACCTGGAGAGCTGCTACCGAGGTGAATTACAGTGGGACCGGCTCATCAGATTAACGGTAGTACTGTCGGTTCAAGCGGCCAGGTGGCCCTTTCACTAGTAGACAATTTGATGGGATAGCTGGAAATGGCTCCGAGAGGGAGGAGTACGAGTATGGTGTCTACTTTGGTTGTCATAGTGGATTTGTCAAGAGTCCTGACTCAACGCAGGATGGATAACTTCCTCCCTTCGTCTCGCTATGAACTGTATGATACACACGGTACAGAAAGGCCAAAGCCTATTGGGTACATTGCCGCTAGTAGCTAGATAAATCATCACATATGCATTAGTTATGTTTTCTTCCGTGGGGCACATATTGACATCCTGAACGCTCTCAAGCTTACAAGCCGCCGATCCTTCCCAGAAATCCACTTCTAATTGTCGATTCTCAGGACAAATCAAGCCATATTCGCCTTCCCCTTCCTCCCCATCATGACTGCTCCCTCACTGGCACAGCTCGTGTCCAAAACACTCATTTCCAAACGCGTCTCGTACGCCTGCTTACTCTTCTCGGTCGATGTCCGCAACATAAACCACCTCAAGTACGGCAGCGGTCGCATTACCTCATCCACGCAATCGATCAGCCAGCCCCCAAGACCGTGACCCTGATATTCCGGGAGGATGTACAAGTCGGTCAGATACGCGAATGTCACATTGTCCGTGATAAGCCGCGCGAATCCGATCTGATCTACATTTTCTTTTGAGTGTGTTGGAATATCACTTGAGATGCCGTTGCTTTCACCCTTCTGGCTAGGGATAGTCGGCCTGGTCTTGTACACTCCGAAGCAAAAGGAACCCTCAATGATCTGTTTTAGGACGTCCTCGGGGTAGCTTTTCGTCCAGTACAAGGCATCAGTGTCGAACGCGGTGTTGATGGCTGACACTGAGAGGAGGGCTTTATCCGTTGATATCATGAACACATCTTTGGTCCAGGTCTGCGGTTCGATGGGTAATGACATGACGTGAGGATCACTGACGAGACGGTAATTGCTCGTGAATTCAGTTGTGGTGAGTGTTTTCTGTTGTTCGGAGTCCGCTGTTGGTATATTCTACGCGTTCGATTGCTCGGAGAAATTATCGTCTTGAACTGACAAAGACATGCAGAATATGAGGATATGGTAGAGCTTGGTATATATGAGGAAGACACTGTTGTTATATATCCTTGTGGGCTCAAGTACGAGATGAGTCACAGAGTCTTGGCAGTCGATTTCAAATCTTCAAAGGTTGAAGATGTGTATAGAATAGTTAACATGCATGAGTAGAACTCATAGGAAGACGCCCTTGTCACATTTCTTCACGTTATATTATATGGTTGTATCGCTGGATTGAGCTTCTGACAGATCCTAGGGAGCTGTGCCTATAATTACTATGGAATGAAAACCCGTAGCTACTGTACACACCAGCGAAATGAACCCATCCAAGAATTTTGGCAACTGGTAGAGCCGGAGAAGATACTCACACACTCCCATTTAATAGAGTAGCTCGATGCTACAGCGTCCTAGCATCGAGACCAGAGAACAGACCATCTCAATTGGTAACAACATCTGAGTCTCCGAAGTCGATGAAGCTTTGTCACATCCCATCAAAGTTCCCCATTCCTTCAAGATCACTAGGCCACTTGGCATTGCCATATATCGTACTGGGCACCGTTGGATATATGCTGGTCGGGCTCAGATGTGAGCAACTTCCCATTGATACAGGTCGCAGAGCAACAGCCGGCGAGACCTGGATATGGTACTTACGGAGGATATGGATAAGTGACTTCAAAAACTGACCAGCGACAGGAGATGTTTCCTCCGCCTGCTTCGTTGTCTTCATCTTTATGGATACACAAATCCATAACAAGGACAGCGGTGGCTAAGAAGAAGATCCAGATATATGTACCCAACCGCATGTGCACGGATGAAAGAAGGCCGGTTTCCTGCCGTATCGATTTGTTCATGTTGATCATACTTCGAGCGGATTGCAGACAGACATTTTTAGAATAACTGTAGTGGTCGTTCATTGATAAACGAGTGAGGAATGGCTGGTTCGGTTTGGCTCTACAGGAATAAAAGCTGCTGGCTATGATGTATCGTTGAAAATTTATTTGAGGATATCGACGGTCAACATCGCGGCTCTCTTGATGACTCGTTGAGGGCGTCCGGCATCCTATAGGATTTTAAATTTCTAGACAGCCCTGTATAGGAGTGATCTTCGATCATTTGTTAATCGCAGTATGTTGTAATGGGGCTTATTCCCGTGACGGCACAGTTTATCTTCGAGAAGGGTTGTTGTTATATATATAACTTGATGAAATTCAATCTAGAGCAATTCTTTTGGAGATCCTTCTAATAAATAAGTATTCTTGGTTAGCACGCCATATGCAATATCGTTTACGTACTTCAACCAGAAAATATATACCATGTAAAGGCAACACTCATGTCCGGACACCTCTGGGTGTCTAATGGGATGATTTTCTAGCACGCGCTTTTCTACTCTCGGTCAGAGTTCACACCAAGAGTTTCTACCGAGTTTCTGCGTTCGAAACATACCCGATCGCAAAAATCAACAAGGAACCAAAACAGAAGCTAATCGTGCAGTTTTCCTGTCTGTACAGTTTACCGCCGGCATTGATGTCGGTCACACCACATGGACACGATTCACAGCCCTCGAGCTCAAGCTGGGGCTGTGAAGACCAGAAATTCGCACTAGAACCCCATCAAGACGCCTTGGGGCGTCTGGACATTTTTAATTTTATGGATGTATTTATTTTTATTTATTTTTTATTTACTTTTTAGAGTTTGATGGGATGATTGTCTCCTTTAGCACGTACAGTACTTTCTCGTTACAGAGCGATGCGCATGTCAGAGACGAGGCTAGGCCTTCTCAACAGTATGTTTGAATGTCAAGTGATTTTTAACTCCCCACAGTTATGAAGCCCCAGCACACATTACCTAAGGACAGCCTTTCACTACTGTCGGGAGATATACTGTGTAGTTATGGTCATCAAGGGTTTGAGGACCATGGCGGAAGGATTTCCTAATTGGGAGCATCCCGACATTGCGTCACAGCCATTGGAATGCAGGTTTTTGTCAACAATCGTTTGTGGACTTCTCAAGGAGTTTTGACCTTTCTTCTCTCTGAGGTACATTTCCATTCGAGAGAAACCATCCTCGAACCTTTGCTGCAAAATGTTCAGTTGGTAGGTCATTTCCCCCCTCAATTCGTTACCTGATACTGATGCGATGCGCGTAGGTATCAACGAAGTTTAATCCAGCGCCCTGTCCTGACCCAAAGTTTAACCACGGCGGTATGTAACACTTCTTCCAGTTTCTTAACTTAAGATGTTGGTGACTAACTGAGCGTGCAAAGTGTCTCTTCGCCGTGGGAGACGGTCTAGCGCAGCAAGGGGTGGAGAAGAAAGGCCTTGCTCGTCATGATGTAACCCGTACTGCCCGCATGGCACTCTATGGTGGAGGTGAGCCTGGTGTCCCGGAGTTCCAAGTCGTATTACTGAGTTTTTGTTGCAGCTGTGTTCGGTCCGGTTGCCACGAAATGGTTTCAATTTCTGCAGAACCGTATCAATCTCGGCACCCCGGGGAAAACCCTCGTGGCTCGTGTCGCCACAGACCAATTAGTCTGTGCTCCCACCATGATTGGTGTATTCCTCTCCAGCATGTCCCTCATGGAAGGAGGTGATCCGAGGGAGAAGCTGAACAAGACGTATTGGGAAGCACTCCGGACGAACTGGATGATCTGGCCCGCCCTGCAGACCGTGAATCTGTATCTCGTACCGTTGCAGTACCGAGTCCTGACGGTCAACGTATTCAATATTGGTATGTAACGTCGAATCATTTCTTGGGGATGAGTGTATACTAATTCCGTCAGGGTGGAATTGCTTCTTGAGCTTCTTGAACAGCGCCGATAATGGCCAGCTACAAGAGCTACCTGTTCTGTGATTGCTACTGGGCTACTTGACGAACACGAGCCTAGAGACCGGTCAACCAGGCACGATGCGCACAGTGTTGGGGCGGGAAAGGGTCGATCATTGTTCTCCACTTTTATTTTGCACCTTGACATGATAGAGGAATGACGGCATATTTCCCGTTCGGGATAAAAACCCGCCTATCGTCGGAGTTCCCAATCCGGTATTTCCGGCACCTTATATAAATGAACGTCGCGTCAGAAGTTGTAACATATTCGGTATATTAGTGTCAGCGATCAATATAATAAATTTCTAAAGCAATATTTGCTTGCACGATTATAGATATACTCCATGACTCCCCTTTTCAGTGTAACGCTGCACGAGATAACCGATCCTCTATGATCAATCTCGACTCACTAGTGGTCGGGATCGTGACGTTTATTACTACGCCTATTCCTTCCAGTCTGGTAGCTTTGAGCCTGATTATCTACGCCGGGTGTAAAAAGTGGCAGTTACTGCTTCATATGTACAGGTTTTGTCTAAAGTAAATATACATATCCTACCCATGACATTTACCCGCACCACCGGTCCCTTGTGAAACTTTCGGGTATGGACGAAGCCGTATGTCAGAGAGACGATAATAAAACCAATGTAGATGACAACGCCCCAAGTTCATGGTAGTGGCGTACATCTCTCGGGTCAAGGAGAAGAAATTCATGGTCCAGACGATCGACAGAAGTAAAAGAGAAACGGTGCCGATGTAAGGGCTGAGTTTATCCATATTCCATCGAGCAGGGGGGATGGGCTGCTTGCGCCGGCGACGAATATAAACACACGAGATGGAGATCATACTGGTATATAAGGAGAGAAGAGTGGCGACACCAAGCGACAGGGTAGTGTTGAAAGCAGCAGATGGAATTCTATATCTCTAAGAAGTATCTAGACTAATTTTTGCAGTTGCTTGGCAGCATAAGCATGGAATCTGCCAAATTGCGCTATGTGAGATAGTACGGTTTCGGCGACCACAACCTGTTCTCTGCCTAAAATCTAGGCAGCTAGGGTAGCATGAGCAATAGGTGCTTGTTCATATGTTTTTTTCTTTTTTTTTTTCTTTTTTTCTTTTCCCACGCTATATTACTCCCAATTTACATAGAGTTGATACGTATGGCCATACGGGGGTTCTCTATCCGGATAACTCTGGACGGGGTTGTCTGAGTGGGGCTCAACCTTGATTCTAAACCTATGTAGACAGATATATACTTACTCCTTCTTATATCACTAAGGCTTACGCCATGGATGATAAAAGGAACTAGAATAGTTTCGCCACCTGTCTTCGAAGGCGAGGACCGTTGTGAGTGAACGAAAAGTACTCTGCGAAATATGAATCGGGGTAAATATCACAAGATGGGATTTCAGCTCTACAGCGGAGTGTGCGAAATATTTATTCCAAAGGCGCGAATCCCATCAGCTCACAAGTAACTGAGCTCCCAAGTAGTATCAAGGTCATTGGCTAGTTTCGCGAAATCATCCAAGTCCACAACGGTGCCTACTTTGTCGCCCCTTCTGTCAAATCGCGTAGCCAGATTGATTTCATGATCATGTTGGTCAAAAAGCTGAATGGAGACTTCCTCTCCATTCTCAATATCCCGGGAAGGCGAATTGTCTAGATTGCTAGGCAAGAGGAATCGGAAGGATGTCGCGCCCTTCTCCTTAGCAGCCCAAACGAAAGCAGTGGACATATATCCTGGCATAATTCGATTGGAGAAGAACCATAGCTTGTCCTCTTTTCCATCCTTACTGTAGATCTTGTAAGGGTGGTTGTATTTCAGCTGCGAGTCGCTGCGGTCAGCTAAACCTATCCTTCTGGAGCCAACATAGAAGTGAAAGGGTGCTACGACTTGCCTTAGTCTCTGTGGAATCTTTAGAGGATTCGGCATCAACATAAAACTTTTGATTTACGGAATCCTTCTTGTACTCAAATTGTAATTGATAAGCGTCGGTGATAGAGACAGATAGGTTTGAGATGAACCGCAATCTTTTCTTAGTAGTGGGCTTTCCAGCGGTTAATTCGGAGATATGTTTAGCTGGGAAATATCAGTAAATTGCGGCGCCAGCAGTGTGAACTATGGAGATCATACCAACTTCGTCTTTCGTGGCTTGCTGCCCTATGGTCACATACTTATCGACCATCTTGCTCCGCAACTGGAAGCCGATTATGCCAGGTTTCTGTTGAGTCTCTCCAGGTGTGGCCTTCTTAGAATTCTTATCCAGGATGCCTGCAAATATCTGCTTAGTATCCTGGTATCCTGGGATGGACGAAATCACGTCTTCAATGGCGAGCACACTAGATTGCTACAGGATAACAAAACTTGTCTTAGCGTCGGGCTCGAAGGGGTGACGTTTGGAACTTACCTTGACAACACGCCAGTTGTAGAATGAACCAACTGTATATGCCCAGGCAGGAGGACTAGATATTGACAAATAATTAGTGCATGCTTAGTAAACAACAACAGAGGTGGGAGGCGCACTCATTGCAGAGTAGGGTGTCGCCACCCTTCGCTTCCCAACACATGGATTTGTTTGAGGAGCTGGTTTGTGTTGCAGAGCTCGAGTCCTCGGCATTGGACTTGCTCATATTGGCGGAAGCCTGCACATATGGCGACTTGAATGACAGTGCAGCTGCAGCTCTCTGAGACTTAGCATGCTCCGCTCTCTCAGCTGAGGAACGGGCAGTAGACTCTTCTGCGGCATGTAGTCTTCCACCAAGCTGGACTCTCATGGCGAACAAGCGACCTATATCCCGTTAGACATTCTATATACGAGCGCAGAGGTGTATGGTGAGGTCAATGGTGTCCAATACCATATTTGTCCTTAAAACTCTCAATATCGGCAGCAGTGCTCACGGCCTTCAAGTCAGCCTTACACTGGTTAGAAAGGTCAAGGCTCTGGTGGTCAAAATCGATGATAACCCGAGGAAACTGTTATAGTAGGGGTTAATATCTAGTTACCTTAATGGTCGAATCTGATACTTACGTTGTATGTAATGTTCATCACTCTGGTCTCCTCGCTGGAACTGGAAGAGTCCGAGGAAGAGTTTTTCTCTCCATAGCTTGCTGACGCACTTGCACTGAACCCAAAAGCACCACCTTCACTGTAAATATACCTTAGTATTTGGTGTCCTTATCACAAGAGAGAATGGCCTACATCGCCAGAGATGCGTCAAATTGAGACATAGAACTCGCTGCAACCGCGCGAGACACCGATTTGTTTTCCTCGAATTGTTCAATGTATGAGTCATCTTCAATACGGAAGAAAGGAATTCGTAGCATTTGCTGTATGCTTGTTAGAAGTTAATTGGTATATGGAAGCTTTAGTGAATGCACGTACCTGCGCATTAACTGAAGTTTTTGCTCCACTGGCGGATATCTGATAGTCTTGGAACGCTCGCGGCTTCAGAACAAAAGCTGCATTCCTCCCATTAGTTATTGATATTTCGCAAAGGCCCTAGCTCAGAGTAGGATCTTACCGCTATGGATGGAACGCTCCACGATTTTTCCCCCTTTCTTTCCGAGGTCCACAACCCGGTAAGGGTTAAGAAGGGAGTTGTTACGTACAACCACACTCCACTGCTTCTCAGACATGTCCGCAGGGTGTCTAGAAAACCATCAATCCTATTGTATCATGCCCTTTCGCATTTCCACTTACACGATGCTGAATGTTGTGGTAGGATTGATGAAGATATTGTGACTAAAGCTGGTGGGTGCTTGAATAGGCTCTGGTTGTGAGGCCCTTGGCAGCTCTGTGAGCCTCTTCTATGCAAGAGAATCAACATATGTCTTTCACGACAGAGGTAAAGCCTACTTACGTCGGCAGTGACCTTTTCTCCTCTGTCAAGGATCGCCTTGTTGATAACGTCCTGGTTGATAATCTTCTCGGACAGAAGGTAGACCCGATAGGTATCTGCATTATCTTGCGATGTTTCCTTACAAGCCATCAACACATAGAGCCACGTGTGGTCATTGGGATGGTGCTACTTACAGCACCCTCACTGGACTAATCCAGGGATTAGTAGCGACTCAAATTAGACAGCATTTGAGACAGTGCTCACCTTCTCGTTTAAAATCTGGAGGTATGCTTTGAAGTTCGTGATATCCTGCACAACTGCCCCACGTTGGTTGCAGAAAGAGCTCCAAACCCTAGAGAAAGTACTCAGAAATCTACTTACAGAGCCCAGGGTAACACACTTACAGTCTAGGCTCCACGATATTCTCTCCAATCAGCAGCTTGCGGATATCCGTAAGCTGCATCTCCTCCTCTTTCACATTCTTGAATGGTAGGCAGCATTTCTCCTTGATCAGCTTGCTCTCCCGACTGTACGAGTAAACATGCAGGATCTGCTGCGGCTCCTTTTTGTCGTCTAGCTGAGGTTAGCTGCAGGATTCACGGTTAAGGTATTTCATTTCTGAAATACGAACCGGCGATGATATCCAAAACCCCCTTTGGTATTTCTCCAACAGCGGTTACTGCCTCCTGAGCAGCACCCGCAGCGACGCCAGTCTTATCTTGAATGACTCCATGGATGCCTTTGAAAAGACCGGCCATTTTGGGAACTATAGTTGGCTGGATTGGTAACTGAGATACAAGTAAGAAGGGTTTGAAGCAAGAGAATTGTACTCTAGGTTGAGCAGCTGTATTTTAGAATGAATATTGGACGTGTGGAAGGGACTCTACCGTCATTTATAGGGGAGTTTCAGTATTTTGGGGGAAAGCCCTCCCCCGTCACACTTGAGCACCTTGTACGGGACAGACATAGTGACATTGCACTAGAGCTGCATTCGTCCAGGCCAATCGCAGTGAGGTTGTCGCTGTCTAGTCTAGTTATTCATTAACCCCGCTTGGGGGAAGCAGCCCCTGGTTCCAATATGCAGTCCATCTTGGTGGTGGCAAAACACAATGCTAAAAACAAAGAAACTTAGAATTTGCCATTCATAGTTGCTTCAGGCGTAGGGGTTGCTGCATGCGCTTGCCAGGGTGTAGCGTCTCATTTCCTCCAGCTTTCCGTGAAATTGACTTAACCTCACATCATGTGCTCACTATGCATCTCCTCGATTATACGACAGTCTCAACGGGTGTCTGTTTTAATATATCAGATGTCCCATGATACCAAGTGCGGAACAGATCGAGAATAAGCATGATATCTTAGTCAAAACAGTCTGGTGAGACTCTAGATCCACGGCTGTGTTGGCAACAGGTCCAGTGTTCTGGCTCTAGACCTCCGATATACCCGAGATCCTTGTTTTAATAATATCTGGTACTATAATTGGGCAATGCAGGCATGTTCAGCTGAGGCGTCCTCTTGTCTTGTTTTCCGCTACTGTGGGTCATCCTCAGGTGGGGTAAAACAAATCCCTAGTAGAAGAAATGGCAATTTGAGGTCGTGATAAAATGTTGAAAAGAGGTTGCAGTCGATGTGAAAGTGGCTATCGGATCCTCCTTTCAACGTAGAATATTCATGGTATGTTCTCAATAATTAGCCACAGCTGTCAGATTATAGTTTTGAGGTCCTCTGGCCTAACCGTGAGGACATACCGATTGCATCCATCTGAGTCTGCACAAGTCCACGTTTGGCTACCAAAGAGCGACGTCATGCAATGGGTACTTGCATCATCACGCTGCAGCCAAAAGTCCCTTGCATTACATGCATCCAGCGTGTCACAAAACCGCGCACCTCGAGCAATACGTGGCGTAGATCTGTCGGGACGTGATGACTACATCATTTGCTAGCAGTGTAAAGTTGCATGGCCATAATCATAGCAGCCATGTATATGGCGGCTTTGACGGACTCACTTGAGAAGAACGATTTGGACCAGTGCAAAGCTGGTTTGGAACGCCATGAGCTCATCGATGTCGCCAATACAGAAGGCATATGTGATGATCCTAACCAAGCCGGTGGAGCCCTTGAGAATCGGAGTCCAGAGTATATCCAAGAGAAGGACTCATGCAGCGTTAGGATGTGTCTCGGAGTGGAATCAGTTATGGTGAGCACGCGCCGATCAAGGCATAAATGGGACCGGGCGAGCGGACTGGTACAGAGCCATACCAGCCCAACCAATCCAACTAAACAAAATAGTCCATTATAGCCCCATCCTCAACAATCCTCGATTGCGCCGAATACCTCTGAAACGGCAGGATTTAGCGATAAGATCCACAAGGGGGAAGAATAATCCCATCAATTAACGTCAAATTCTAAGCGAGAAGTGTCTTCACGATACGTCATCTGCTATTAATCGCAACGGGCGAAGGCCACAGTAGAGGGCCTATTATCATTGACTTCCTCCATTATTTTCGGTTAGACCTGGCACTGGAATTGAGAAGTTAGCTTCCTCTGTTGAAGCCTGAATCTATATCCGATGGCTGTTTCCTAGTACATAGCGGATACATATTTGTAAGCGATTCGTGTGCAACTAAAATTGAATAGTACGGATAAGACGACGCGCGAGATTAAGAATATATTCCTGGTAGCAGGTTCGTTGAGGAGGGACACCATAGCTGTCCCAAAGATAGCACAGGAGATATTGTTGGTCCTTCATGACATCTTCCAATTTTGAAGCCCAAAGATGATCTGATTTGACTGGCACAGAGTCACACGACATTCTACCCCAACCTTTAACTCTCCCAAGGAATCAACAGCGGGTCGGTAAGCTCGAATATGTCCATTTGATTAATCTCATCGATAGACAAGGGTGCCCAGAGGGAGGAAGAGTAGTCTGGAAGTGGTGTTGGTTGCCCGGGTCCAGCTAATGAATGAATGTCAGTGATTATTGGACTAGCCTGAGGAATCGGGCTTTCCATTGGGTGTTGCCTGAGCTGTGGCCAGGACCAGGATTCACCCTGATCCTGCAATGTTCGCGTGCAAAGATAGTGGAGATAAGTCGATGCTTGTCGAAGGGATTCAATGGTGTCGGTCGTAGAGGGAGACCTTAGTCTTCCAGATCCGGTTCTTTCGTTTAGGTGCGCAGCTGACTTCGATAGAAGAGTGATAACGATATAAATGAGTCGAGGGAGGGTATCTGGCTCTGTTGGAATATCAGGCGACTGGATTGGGTTTTGAAACCACCGGTCATAGAGAAGCATCAGTCCACTCTGGAAAACGAGATGGTGGCCTGATGGCCATATGCAGGGAACAAACGACGCATCTGAGGCTAATTCATATGCTAGGATGAGTTGTGTCGTTGCTTCCCTGCAAGCGCGCAGACTATCGGCGAATTGTGGTTCGTTTTGTCCAAAAGTCAATGCAGGACGATGAATGAGCATGGTGGCTAGTTCGCCGAGGATAAACAACCATAGAGAAATAAAATCAGGGCATTCAACAGGGTTGTAGGCAGTGGTAGTATTGTCGATGTTATGTAGTCTGGTCTGGATAAGCTCTCCAGTGCGTGCGATGTTGGGTAAACTTGACTGAACGTTTTGTTTCCAGACATCGAGTTCACGTTGAAGTCGATAGATCTTGGCAACTCCACCTCTTCGGTTGGTCGTCGTATACATTTGTTCGAGACACCTGGATAGAATTTGTGCGAGATGAACATACTGGAGAAATGGCTCGATATGGGTAGTTTCTCCAGGTAATGGATACGACAGCTGATCACTATGCATGTCGTCATAGTCGGTGTTGGTAGGGAGGTCGGTATCTGTGTCTGCTGCTTGTATGTTTCTGGGTAGACCATACAGGATGCTTGATTGCCTAGAAAGAGGTATTATCAGCATGTTGTACTTCCAACAGCAAAGCCTGAATGGGTCTTCCATACACGTCGAGCACATATACAGACCACCATATACGCCTTCGCAACTCACTTTCACCGGGTGTGTGTTTGAATCGTCTAGTATGTCGATGAAGTCCGAGTGACTGCGCTAGACGTACTATCATACCACAGATGCGTATTGCTAACGAGTGCTGTGATGTCGTCTGGAGATAGAGAAGGTAAAGGATCAAACCTTGGAGACTGGGAATATCTCCTCGGCAAGGCATCTGACCAAGTAAGTTGCTCAGTATGGTTTCCAGGCGATAAGACAAGGGCTCTGATTCAGTTGCGGTAGTACTGCTATGGACATTGTCAAGCGCTATCAAGGCATACACCTGAAGGAGAAATGGTATCCTGAGATGCAGTTCGATCGGGGTAGTCCACGCATCATTGATTGTGTCGTCAAACGTGTCAAGGAACTGTTTTGACAACAATACAGGATATAGTATCCCCCAATATTGTTGGTACTTGTCAAACGCCTTGCGAACAGCAACCACTCCCAGATTACGGAGATGATTACGTAGAGATTCAAAGATGTTGCTCGAAGCGAGCTGACCGTCCGCCAAACAGCTTTCGATGCTTTTGTTTCGTTCCCAAGCTACGGTCAATTCGCTAGACCGCAGGATATGCAGGCGAAACAAACATTCGGGAAAATGCTCTTGGGAAGAGAAGGTAGTCTGATACAGCTGCTGAGCCGAGAGGACAAAATGAACCCCTGTCGTAGAACCTGCAAAGAACTCGGAGTTGCCATCGCCCAAGACTAGTCGTCCAAGGTGTGCCACCACAGAACCATTAGAGGCCTTCTCTCCTCCATGTTGCGTGTAGCCACCAGTGCGAGATGCCGCGACAAGCTCCCTCAATTGTTCGATCTCTTTCTTTTGCGACACTATAGTCTCATGGAGCCCCTCTTCCCGCGCTGAGAAAAGTTGTAGCTGGCCTCGCGCTGATTGCAGCTCTTGCGTGAGTTGTTGGATGAGTTCTTCGGTTGGCTCAATATACCTATAACCTAGTAAGAAGGAGTATTAAAGAATCACAATTGGGGAATGGACCCTCGCGGCGTGGTTCTCCGTCGCAGCTGGACAGACACTGAGCATTCAGCACCGGTCCTCTCGCATTTCCCACACTTCAATGAGTGAACAAGTGAGCCGTAGTAGACGCAAACAGAGGCAGCGAGAAACAGACCTTCGGTCGACGTCCATCACACTTGACTCTTTTACTAAAAGTCTCGTCAGATCTCGCACGATACCTCTGGATCCTTCTATGTTGTGCTTACACGCGGCACCGATCGCTATGTGACGGAAGGTCAGTGTGGGAGTACGTCGAGGGATTCCATCCACTTGGGATGTTTGTGCATACAACGGGACCCCACTTACCAAACCTGGGCTGGCCGTCTTTCGGTCATTCTTTGCAGCAGGCGTGACAGGGATGTTACAATATAGCTGTGATGATCAAGTCACACGCATTGGCCGAGGAGGTTTAGGACGGTGGGGATGGCACGGAATAAGGGCACCGGGATAACGGGCTATTCCGGCGTGGAGTTCTTTATGGTGGATCCAGGCATCAATATCTACGCCTGAGGCAGCACAAACTGGCCTGGCTAAGGTTGGAAATGATCGTCACATGTCGGACTATACAGATTGTTTGCATTTGCATCTCTTTTCAAACTTCTACCAAATGATATCTGTGTCTCCGTTTACCACGATAACCTCTGTGCCCTGTAATACATGGCCCTTGACTTTTTTACACTTTCTCTTCGTGACTGATCTCCCCTTTCTCTTGTGCCAAGTCTTGCTCGACTGCCAGGTGAGGATTTTCCCTCGCATACCGAACTGTCGAAAAGACCGACGGGCTGTTCCGAAAAATCAGATCAATTTCTTCGAGCGATCGGCCCATGGTCTGTTTTGATGTCAGTAGTACACTCGAGCAAAAGTGGGACAGAATCCATTCACCTCAGGATAAAAGAAGTAGACGGAGATAGGGATACAGAATCCAATACAGGTAAACACAATGTAGTACTGATACCCGATCGTGTTGATTGCCACGGGGGTAATCATCGTGACGGCGAAGTTCCTAAAATCATTGTCAGCGTCTGCAATACATCATATCAGAAGTATGCATACCACAGCCAATGATTAGCAGTCGAAATACTCGACATGGCTACTCTCAGCTTCGTCGGCGCAACCTCAGTACAGTAAAGGAAATTGGCACCCAAGAAGCCAATTGGAATGAAGAAATTGAAGAGGAAAACGAAGAGGACACTGGCGACCTGTGCGCCAAAGTTCGAATGTGGAAAGGAGGTCGCGATGGCGAGCCCCATCATGCAAGTCGCCATTCCTGTACCACTCACCATGAGCACAAAGCGTCGCCCAAGTCGATCGATGGCAAAGAAGCCCACAAAGCAGGAGAGAAGCTTCCAGGTCAAAGTACCTCCTGATAGGATTCGAGATGTCTCGGAGTCCATGTGAAGACCATCCTGGAAGATGACCGTTGAATAGACGGATATCAGGTTCCCTCCAGACATTTGTTGAAAGAACTGCAACAAGATACACAAGCAAAACCGGTAGAGAAGTCGGTCCTGTCCCATCTTAAGCATATCACCAAGCGATGCGGTGGTGCGGCCGGACTGTTCCAACGAGCGTTCGATTGAGGATAATTCATCAATTATGCTCGTGTCATCTTCGGGCAACCCCTTCAGCGCAGCAAGGGTGTTTCGTGCTTCCTGCATGCGGCCTTGTTGAGACAGCCATCGTGGGGACTCTGGCATTGCCAAAATAACCAGGCTTAAGATGAGCGAAAAGAAGATGGGGATGGCAATCGGTGGCCGCCAAGATGCCGAACCCGTTTTGATTTGGTAAAATCCTAAGTTGATCCAAGCCTGCAGGACATATCCGATTGAGATGAAAAGCCCATCCAGAACGACGTGCTTTCCGCGGTTCGAGGAGCTAGAGCATTCGCTCTGCCACGTAGGCACTGTACCACTCAACATCCCCACGCCAGCACCCAAGATCACTCGCCCGATGATGAGCTGAGCCAGTTGGAACGAAGATGCTTCGAGGACCTCCCCAACTAAGGTGAGGATGGCCCCTGCAAATATTACGATACGACGTCCAAACCTGTCGCTGGTATATGAACAGGAAAGGCATCCCATCATTGCTCCCAATGTAAATGTCGCCACTACAACACCTTGTATCGTAGCATTTGCACTCTTCTGTTTTCCTTCCGTGTGCACGGTGTCGATCCGAGGGAAGTGATTCGTGAAATCCGTCACCGAAACTAATCCACCCAGGTTGGATTGATTGTATCCGAATAGAATGAAGGCAGGACAAACAACCAGAAGAAGCTGTGCTAAGGTAAGAGCGCTTCCACGAAGGCCCATGAATGATAGTAGTCTCATGGTTCATGCAAGAAATTGGCAAGGCCGAATAGGGTCTGATCAAAGATCTAGGAAGGAGGCTTCCTTCTTCAGGATTGACCCGATAGTAATACGTCTTTTATATTGTTTACAACATCTTGTTATAGACCTTGTGTCTGGGGTTGTGGGGATATCGGCTGATCTGGGGTACAGACTTTTCTGGGGTCGGAATTAAGCTCTAATCCGAAGGCGTGTCGTGGCTGTTGTGGAATACGGCCCTAACCCTTCTCATAGCGACAACAAAAGCAGTTTCGGTACACAACCATACGTTTCAGTACATGGCCATTTGAAGGCAATGCTTAAGTTACCCGAGATGACATCTTTACACCATGGTATCTACATGCTATATGGGCATCTCTCGGGACGTCCACCTCTTAGCGATTCCCTTACTGTGTCGAGGTGCCATTCTTCACACCTTGTTACTCGCAAAATCTACACTGGCCCCATGCTCATACGCGAGAGATTTGATATACATAAACTAGTTTCATTATCTTTGACTACCTCTGCTTACATTGCTTTCAGTCCCGCTTTCCTCTCTGCGACTCTTTTCAAAACGTCATCAACCATCAGCTGACCGGAGCCAAGATAATTCAATGGATCACACAATTGGGTCAGTTGGGCTTCATTCAAATGCACTGATACCTCCATATTCTCCTTCAGCACATCTAACAAGACTCGATCGTGCTCAATGGCTGACTTGCAGGCCTCATAGACCACGTCGTGTGCTCGTTGTCGACCAACGAATGGAGCCAGCCCCATCATTACAGCCTCCCCGACAATCAAACCCCTTGTGGAATGGAGGTTCCTCTCCATGGAGTCTTCTTTCACACACAGCCCTGATAGAGCAAAAGTGGTCTGGTGCAGTGCACCAACAGCATATGTAAAGGACTCCGGGATTGCCACCCACTCCAAATGCCATGGCCCGGACGCGCGTTCAAAGTCAACGACCATCGCGTCCAACCCCAAGGATGCATTGGCTCGGAGAAGCTTGCTAGCAGCGAGAATGATCTCGCTGGAGATGGGATTACGCTTCTGCGGCATGGTTGAGGAGGCACCGCGATGAGGCACGAAAGGCTCTGCCACCTCATCTAGCTCATTGGACGACATAACAATGATGTCTAAACCAATCTTGCCCAGGGTGCCGCCTATCAGCGCCAGAAAATTGAGGACCTCTGCAATATTGTCACGAGCGACATGCCATGTGATCATTGGGTCTTCCAGTTCAAGCTCCTTGGCTAACTGTGCTCGCACAAGAATCCCGGTCCTGTCACTACCCAAAGAAGCCAGAGTACCCGCTGCACCACCAAACTGTACCAGGAGGCATCGGCGTTCGATTTCGCAAAGTCGGTCTCTGTGTCTCAGAATGCTGGAGAGGTAAACGGCACACTTGTAACCGAATGTGCAAGGTAGGGCATGCTGCAAGTGCGTACGGCCGGCCATTGGACTAGAGACAGTGGAATCAGCACCACGGAACACCGCCAAATTGCGCCCGATGCTTAACTTACGTATCGCGGTACGTTTCAGCCAAGACTTGTAAAATATCAATTAATTTGTTCAGATCTCGTTTCACCAAATCCAAGCCTCTTTTGATCTGCAGCATACTGGCGTTGTCCATGACATCTTGCGTGGTGGCACCCCAATGGATGTATTTCGACAGGTCTTCAGGAGTGTTCTCCACCAACTGCATCACCAACGGTAGAACAGGATATCCGACAATTTCGGTTTCTCGCGAGAGCCTGTCAAAGCTATTTTATTATCGTTAGTCAATGGTCGATGGTTCCACAATGACTACCTGTCACTGTTCACATACTCTAGTTCGATATTACCAAGAACTGCGGTAATCGCATCGCCAACTTCTGCTGGAATAGCATTGACTTTGGACTCTGCTCGAGCCAGGGCGGCTTCAGTTTGTACAAGAAACTTTGCATACGCTTCGTCCGTGAAGATTTCACGGACCTCTTCGGTGCCAAAAAGGTTCCGAAAGATTCGGGAGTCGAGAACTGAGATAGACATTGCGGCCGTATTCGCAAAAAGAAAAAGAAGAGAAAAAAAGAAAAGAAAATTCCAAGCTCAGTGAGAGGTAGAATCTGGATCAGTTGAAGAAGCTCAAGTCATATTCACGGGGAATAGAGTCTATTAATGGAAGGTCGACCTCAAGACCTCTAGATTTCGCTCAATTGGGAGAGAACGGAATAGCGCCTTATCCCGAGCCCTCCATTTAATCCGCCCATACTAAATTACTCCACTTTTTGTCTTTCACTTTGTACATTCTCATCCCGTGCTTAATCCGTCATCCCTCTATAATGGTAGCGTTAGGTTCTGTGCACACTATTCATCTATAACGGTGTTGAATAGAATAGATTGGCACTAATTGCTAGGGCACCTGGTGGGAGTCAATTGCACGCCGGGGGTATTGGTTTCTATATGAACTACCCGAGCTTAGGTCTCAGCTTCTGTATCTGTGACTCTCAATAAATACACGAAAGCCATAGTTCTGGATTCTCAAGGGAATTGGATTAAAAGCCAGCCACCTTATTCAATGTGATTCAACCTATACAACGCTAGAAGTCATTCGAGGAGGGACTATATAACGATTGAGGGCTGAGTCGTACTTTGTAGACTTTCTAATATCAACCGGGCCTTACCACTACCTTCACCTGGTTACTATCTGCGTTCCAGAATTGGAAACAATTAATTACAACCTAGGGGTCTTCCTATAGCTACAGAGTACGGATCTGAGCTTCCAGTATCTAACGTGTTCTTATAGTGTAGATTCCCGTTGTCGTGTTGAACCAGGCCTTGCAAACAGAGGAACGATTCCATTTCTGTCTATTTCTCTTCTTGCGCGTATTTAATAGATTGGTGTGCTTTGCTTACTATGGCGACCCAATAACTCCTTGTCTTAACTAGAGCACCAGTCTCCAAGGTAAGGTGTGATATATAGTACTACCAACAGAGGTAACAATACTAAGCGTGCAAATATGGAGCTTCCCCCCAAGCTCGCACGGTGCCTTTCTCCCTGAGATTGCACTACCCTCACTTGATTCAGTATAATTTTCCAATAAGAAATTGTGTATAAAGCAAAGCCTTCTTTTTGAAAGGGAAAGGTGAGTATATTAGTACAATTAAGAGATACTAAACTTATATCTGAAAGAAAACATCTATTATTTGTACTATACTATGGTAAAAGAATGACGGGTGAAATGAATCATTGATTACATGTAAATGAGTGACAAGTTATAAAAGTCCAACAAACCATAATCGAATCAAACATCCAGATTAGACCAACACAGTCGGATCGAAGTTATAACCGGAACGATAGCGCACCCGGAAAGGATTCTAGTTCTGACCTAGTGCACCACCCCCACCTATAAGAAACCTGCTTATTATTCGAAGTCTTCGCAGTCCGCGGGAGGGGGAGCTTCGCATTCAGCGCATCCGGGAGTTCCGCCAGTACTAGAAGACGAAGAGCTGCTCGAGGAAGAAGAACTGGAAGAGCTGGAAGAGCTAGAAGAGTTACTGCCTCCCTTGTTGGTTTCCGTATTGCTGCCAGTGGTGTTGCTGTTGTCTCCAGACGTGTTTCCACCGGTTGCAGGAGGGCATGAGTTGTCACCTTCGCAACCTGTATCACTGCCACTAGGAGGAGTGCCACCAGTAGGGGGAGTGCCACCAGTAGGGGGAGTACCACCAGTAGGGGGAGT